TTTGACAACCAAACGCGCCGGGGGGGGTTCCGATTTGATCTCGGGTTTCACCTCCGTGGCGGGTGGGGGAAGGGAAGGGGGAGGGGGGGAGGAAGAATCCGCCGGGAGCGCGGCCGCGGCGTAGAGGGAAAGCTCCGGAACGGCCACCAACGCGGCATCAGGATCGGAAAGAAGAAAACAGGGCGTTCGACCATCCGAAAACAGAGAGTTAGCGGAGGAAATCGAGGACGCACTCGCACCTTTGACGGCGGCATCCAAAAAGGTGTCTAACTCGTGCAAGAGGTCCTCCTCGTCGTCGGAGGATTGAGAAGAACCCCCGTGCGGCTCTTTTCGACGGCGAGAATTTAGAAACTCCCCGTTCCCGCTGCTTGCGTTCGCGTTTGTGGTGGGAGGAAACAACACGTGCCCGAGGGAAGGATCCCCATCCTCGGCAAGCGGTGCCTGCGGGGTGCTTTCCGGATGCTCCCGAAGCTTGTTCGCCTCGTCGTCATCAACGATAAAATGATTCAGACAAAGATTGAAGAACTGCGGGGCCTTCTCGGCATACAGCCCGCGGGAGGATAAGGGTTTGGGGCGCAAAGGGGATTGCGCGAGCCGCTCGTTCGAGCCTCCGGCGGCAGGTGAGCCCCCTTGCGAAGTGATCCTCGCCGACAACCACGCGAGCTGCCCGGTGGCGTCCCCGCCTCTCGTCTTCGGCGACGTCCCGGCGGCAGATCCGCCGCGTTGGAAAATCCGCCCCTCCGTCTGATCGCTCGACTGCGAAAGGAGGGTGCTGTCGGAGTCCGAGATCTCCGCCGCCTCCTTTAAGGTTGCGTCCTGAAAGGCGGAAAGCGCCGGGTTCGACGGGGAGGAAGGGTAGCTGCCGGGGACCCCCTCCCCCCCCCCTCCTGGCGTCGTCCTCTCGTTGGGAGCGGGCAAGACGATTGTTTGAAAAATGGGCGGGCGCGGCACCTTTTTGGGGGGTCGCCCGCGTTTTCGTTTCACCACCACCACCTCGCCACTTCCCGCAGGTAGAATTTCCGGTGCGGCGGGCAGCACTGGGGGGGTGGATACCGGGGGTATCAAATGCGTGTACGGCATGCTGTTAGCCGCCGCCCTCGCTTTCATCAAGCCTCGTCTTCCACCACGTCCTCGGCCGCTCCCACCCGTCGCGACCTCGCTTCCACTCGCTTGCAAAGAAGGGTAGACAAAAATCTCACTTGGTGAGAGCTGCGTGGAGGTCTTGAGATCCACCGGTTCATTTTTAGACGTCAAGCACACGTACTGCTTACTCAGTTTTTGAACAATTTCGGCGTCGATGGAGGGACTCGAACGCGTCTCCCCTGCAAAAGGGTCGGGAATGACGGTCTGCAAAAGGAGCTCCGCGAGGGATGGAATGTGAGTGCAGTCAGCAGTAACGTGTGTTGTTTTTCCATTGTAGTGAAGGAAAAAATCACGCTGCATGGATAAAAAAGAGAGAGACTTGCCTTCCTATGTGAATAGGTCCCCTTTTAATGTCTTTATTCTCTAAAGAAAATAGTATGAAGGCTAAGCACACCCTCAAAGATTTAGTAATCTAGAAACTTGGGCCTAGAAGTGGTGTTTTTTATACTGCTTTAAAGATTAAAACGAGGGCAAACGATGTGTTACTCAAAAAAAGATTGAAAAGATAAAAAACATTAGATGTGCTTTCCTACTCCTTTTCGCACAAGGTAAAGTAGATTGGAAATAATAATGCCATGTTTCCTGACTACCGAATAAACAAAATGTTGGTATCAGACTTACTAATGTTCATTTTAAAGGGAAATAAATCAGCACTATTTTTAAAATTTTCTATATCTTTTGCATAAAGCTTACACTTACGTTTTCTTCATGTTTATTTCTTCTCAGTCACTATTTTTAATATCGAACGGTCGAAATTAAAATTAGCTACATAATACAAAAAAGTATTGGAAAAATAACAAATAAAATTTATAATCAATATAGAATTGTCACAAAAATCGAATAAAACACAATTCAATAAACAAAAATAAAAAACTACGTTTTTTATTACACATGAAGTAAGAAAAAAGGGTAGTTGATTTTACCAAGGAACAGAGGACGAAAACCTTTCTGCTACACGTTTAGAAAACCCCTACAAAAAAAATCAAAAAACAATAAGCACGCACTCTAAAAGAGGTAAAAAACGCTAAAGTAGATCAAACACTTATGCAATAGCAATAACAATGAATTCTTTAACTTGGATCTAATTCTACCCTGAACTTCATCACTTACTTTGCGGTCTGTGAACTAATACGGAAGAGAAACATGCGCAAAGATAATTTCGCATGCAGCCCTTCTAAAAAACAAGCGAGCGAAGATCTAAATAAAAATAGAGGGAAAGTTCAAATACGAAAATGATTGTCAAAGTACGGAATACAAAAAACTTCTAGAAAAGTTTTGTTAGTAAAGGACGGAAAATAAAAGAGTAATGTGATAACAAGAGCATTAGTTCAAAGTATATTCTTACTGCCCATTTTTTATATAAATATATATACAGATATATTCGTTTTGATTTGTAAGGAGCAACTAAGACTCTACCGTTCTATTATTTGATCTCTCCTAGCTTCACTTTTACTCTTCAATTTAATCAAGAAGAATTTTTGCATATTTTAATTCATTATTACAGCGCTTATGATCATCATTTTACTTTTAACTAATAGAAAAAACATATACATCTGTACCTATTTCTCCTACCTCATACGTAACTTATCCTTATATATGTTTTAGATGATGAATTGTCTTTATTCCACAAAATCATCCTTTCTCATACTAAACAACCAAAAAAATTCTGAAAAAAACGCCTAAAGTCAAAGCCACTTGATTCTGAATTGTCCAAAGTCAATACAAACAAACAAAATTTATTTCTTTATGAATAACAATCGCACTCATTCAAAGGAGTATTAGAAATATAAGATATGCCCACAAAACGGAAAGAAAAATCAGAAGAAAACGGTTCTTAGGCATCTTTCTTTAAGAGAACATGATGGCTAATCTCTTCAGTAGTTGTTTCCAAGCATTATCTAATCTCCAAAAAGATGAAATTCAAATACCGAAGGGAAAGATGTCATAATATCGGACCAAGCGAGTAACTCATAGCCAAATATAAAAAAAAAATTAAAGAGTCAAAATAAATAAGCCTAGACACCCAATTTGTAAATGTAAGGTGGCTAGTTCCATTTAAAGGAATTATTACATTTTGGATAGAGTAAAAAATTAGTATGGCTATAACACGTTCTCTCTCTCTCTCTGTATATATATATATATATATATTTATATATACACATTTATACATACAAATGACACAACCTAAAGACACCAGCAAACACATAAACGGCAAAAGAAAATGTTAAATAACGAATTGGAGATAAAATTTTGATCGAGTAGCAATCAAAACTAATTCTTAGACGATGAGCTTATGAAGACCGGCTAATCTCCGTTTGATGATTAGAAACACAGTATTGTTTTCAATGCATTAACATTTTAAAAGAAAAAGATAGAATGCCTTTCATAGAAAACGTGTTTTACGGCATCTATGTTCGAGAGAAAACAAAGGAAAGCTGCATAAGGTCTTTATTATAAAAATAGTTTAGAAAATTCACGAGACAATCATATACTCAAAGAGCAAACAATTTGGTCTTTCTTGTTAATCTAGCTTTGGATCAAAAGACGAGCCGCTTCCTCAAATCCAGCCTCTTTAGCACAGTCGGCTGCCGTCATGCCACGCGCATTCTTCACGTGTAAGAGATGCATACCCACCGTTGGATGTCCATACAGGAGCCAATGGATGACGCGCACATGCCCGCCAGACGCGGCCGCATGCAAGATCGTATTCCCGCTCTTTGCCGAGACCAACGTCCGCAGGTCAATTTTCACCGGTTCCGGTGTTGGAGCGAGCAAAACTTGAAGGATCTCCAGTTGGCCGTGCCACGAGGCGAGGTGGAGCAACGTGCGGCCGGCGTAGTCCACGCAATTAGTGAATCCCCTGGTAAGCCGCGGGTCGACCGCGCGGAGCTGACGGAAGATCGTGATGTCGCCGCCGCGGGAGGCGGCCTCAAGGAGGTAACGGGGGTCGGCGTAGAGCGCGGCGGCCGACA